AAGGCTTGCTTCATACGCTCATTTGCACAATGTGCGAATGCTCGACAGAACCTATGCATTTCACGGACAGATGCTTCATGAAACAATTCATTTGACGTTTTAGACAATCTCCTCTGCCTTAACCGTTTAGGGCGTCGCAGAGAGCACACTGCCGTTTACCTATAAACTTACATCGATTCGAGTGCTACAGAGAGAGAGAGATTGACGGCGGGAGCTGCCTTCCTGTCTCATTGAATGCGACCACAGCACCGGCGATGCGTGGATGATGGATTTTAAAAGCCTGCTCTTCCTTAGTGTGTTGTTGCTCTTACGAGGATGACAAAAGCCGAGAGACACCCGACTGTACTGGGTTGCCGGGCGGCGTGCGAGAAAATGAAAACGCCCTCCTCGTCATTCGATTGCACATTTTATGGCGAATGATGCGAACGTGCTTGAGCAGGGAACATCGTGTTAGCGCACCGTGGATTAAATATCGAAGCGGACAGTCGAAATATATAGCACGTGGCGTGTTGTGAATTGAACCTCAGGTGATTTATAGTGATGCGATGCTCGGGCGAAGAAATTATCGCAGCTCTCTCTCTCGTGTCATGTGTACGAATAAGCAGATGCTTTCAATGTGATCGTTTAACTAATTTACATGTTCACAAAGTATGAGGCGCCATCTGGTGAGGCTAAAGCACTTGGCCAGGCACCAACGGTGTTTGTTTTATGGTTGCTATCGTTCTTGGCATAGTAATGTAGAATCTCCACCTCTGGCAGAGGGCCACTCATGGAGATGACACCACCCGATGCACAATTGAAGCAATTGGCGGGACCCCGGGGTCCCATCACTGCCCCGGGGTGGGAAAAACCGTGTAGCGACACGAGTCTCGTTGCCTTACCGACAACAAAACTAGCGGTCAATCGATTGGCTTCGTCGAGAGCTACTCGGGGCACTAAGTTTCGTAAAAAGTTGAAAAATTACATAAACACGTTAAATCCACTGCCTGGGGGAGCGGCGAGGCTCGCCTAGGCAAAGAAGCTGAGGATCGACGGCTGACCGGAGGGCGTCGTCGCCGCGCGCGACTGCGGCGGACGCCCCCCGGGGCTCGCGTTTGTCCGGTGGGGTGGCGCCCGTCGTGTCGATCGCCGCCTGCTGCTGGCGCTTGTTGGTGCGAGTCTGGGCGGGCGGCGCGTTGCTGTCGGGATCACGTAGTGGGCGGACTGAAGAAAAATAATAATTATTGTTGACCTGATTTTTGTGGGAACCCCGGGGTCCCGCAAAAAATATTCATTTAAACAATCTCATTAATTGACCTTTTTTTTAATTGTAACGACATTTAAAAAAAAATCTGTGCTCTAGCATAATCTGCCAATTCTCAGATGTGGTGAGAATCTCAATGTTATGCCTTTTGTTTGCATGAGGCTTGGTTTCAGAAGAGCATCTATTGTCCAGGGCAGATCAAAGTGTGGCATCATAAAGGTCTTTTCCAATTAAACCAAGGCATTCCGAATGAGCTACTGCAAACATAAAATGTCTCAAGTACAGTACTGTAATATAGCAGCAATAAAATCACATAGGGATTAAATCTCGGCATAATGTGCAGATATCACTCCCCTTAATCCCCTCCAGACCTCCATGTCAGGCCAAACTGAATGGGATATCATTCTACTGCTGAAAAATCCAATCTTTATGTGGCGACTTATGCCACGGGCTACAGGTTATTTATATGCCCTTCTGATTCATAAAGCGTCTTTGAAAAAAAATGAAAATTGTTGCCCTTATACCAGTGCTGTCTGCACGTGACTTCATACAGCGGCGGTGGACAGCAAACTCGCGATTGTTCAATGGGGGCTGAAAACAAAACGGCGTGCAGGGCGTTTTAAAGGTCCCCACTCCCCTTCCCACACTCACACACGCGCACACCTGCTGGCTGAAGGCACGAAAACGTGAAAGCCAGAATGCAGGGCTGGGCTTGAGCGCCGTCTCTGCTGCTCACGAAAGGAAAATGAGTGGCAGAGAAAACAAAAACGAACCGCGGTGGCGAGTTCGAGCGCGTGTGTGCGCGCGCGTTTTGTTGTTGCGAGCAGTGTGGGAGCCTGGTAAATCGTGTATAGTGTATTGTCGTTCATTCAATCTCCAAACTTGTGTAATTTGGTATGACGAGTGTACTCGTTCTCAAAGGATGCTCATGATTTTTTCTTCCAATTAAGTTACAAAGTGACGGAAGAAAAGCAGGCCAATTGTTGATAATTGGCATGGCAACACGTTTTTATACACGCAGTACAGGATATATAATATATATTTTAAAAACTAGTTGAGCTTCTTTTTTTACATGCTCATGACAACAGGTTGGAGCACGTCCATCTCTTATTTCGCAAGTGACGAATGTTCGACTGCAGCAAGGAGATGGCAATTTACCATCCTGGCTGAATGAAATTCCCTCACCCCACCGTCCACAGTAGGCCGAAGGAAGATGACACTCGGTCCATGTCATCTTCGCCACCAGCCTGAGCCGTGTAAATGCGAATTCGCACGTGAATATACAGAGGGTCATCTGCAATGTGTCTAGTCATTGGGTCTGATTGGAAATCGAGCTTAGCACATACTTTATTTCCCTATCTTCAATGGGTCTGTGCCCTACTTAGTCCATAGCAACAGTGGGGGCATGTCAGACTTATGACGACCACGTCACCCAGAATGCTCCCGCTCGGATCTGACCTCAGAAGCTAAGCATGCAGGGTCGAGCTTGGTTAATGCTTGGATGGTAGACCACCATGAACTAATAAGAGGTGTAGTTGGCACTGAGAGCAGTAGAAAGCAGTGTTTTTGTCTGTACTCACACCACCTACACCAACCCGCACTGACCAGTGTGGTGAGGCATGGCCAATTAATCCTCATGGTCTGCACAGCCAGGGGATGCCCTCATCCAGTAGTGGAGTGACAAATGAGCTGTAGATGTGCACGGTCCCTTCTCTGTAAGTCCGAGTGTCCAATTTGTTAAAGGCCTGGAGTGCTCCAACGTGTTAACATGCAATATGAACAATCATAACAATTGTCATGATTTTTCACATTACCAGTGGCCCCATTATGTCCGCTCGTCTTTTACATCCTAATTAAGCCAATGTTCCCACACACAAGAACGTTCCAACTGGCTACAAATAACTCTTTTTTACGTTGCTTTCTGCACTCTACTCTGCAGTACAATTTTGATTTATAGAACATAAATATACCGCACTTCCGATTCGCACGGTTGTCAAGGTACGGTTCGAAATAAGTTCTACATACAGTATTTCCAGAACTAGCGAAATACTGTTGCATACCTGTGTAATGACATGGTGACAGCTGCTGGCTGGGAAAGAGAATCACGGGTACGGGCACGGTTAGAGTAACAACCAATCAGAGAGGGAGGTGTATCTGGGGCAAAGGTAACAGGTGGGGCTAGCCGAGATACTCCGGGAACCTGCTGGAAGGTTCCACGAGAGGGCGTGGCCAGAGGCGGGGCCTAGCCACGCCTGGGGGGATATAAGGGGGAACGGAGCCGGGGCTCGGGGCTCGTGTGTGGGGTCCTGGGTCCCGGCTGCGTCGCTGCTCGCCGTCATCTCTCTCCGTCGTCCGGCCACGTGGAAGATCTCCTGCGGGGTTTCCATCGCCGTCATCGTCACGCCGCCAGCCAGCGGCGTGGCCGAGTGAGGGCGGTGGGACCACGCCGAGTGATCGGCTGTGTGTAGCCAGTAGAGACGTTAATATCTAAGAGTTGTGCTCAGAGTGAGGAAGAATAAGTGTTGGCCTGTGTTGTGCTCAGAGTGAGACATAAAAGAAGTACCCTCTACACGACAGTGTCGCGGAAATCGCTCATTACACATGTACCACTCTTGTCGCGCATTCCACGAAATACATCAGTTCCGTTGCATACCATGCGATTATGATGTGCGTCAATATGATTTCATATCCGAGTCATTCGATATCACCGCGAGAAATGAGCGATAAAGTCAGCGTGTGCAGAGGGTGCTGGGTAGATTCTTGGCAACAGTTGTTGGGGGGGAAGCCTTCATCCAGCAGTGCATCGATCGTGGCTGTTGATGATGCATGTATGCTGAACTTCTTTCTCACCGTACGTAACAAACTGTGCTAAATCGGAGGTGCGGGGGGCAAGACAACAAACTATACACAAAAAGCAGTTCTAAGCAAATGAGTTTTGAATCTAGATTTAGAAGTGCATAGCTCCAGTGTGTTCCTAATATTGTATCGGAAGGCAGAGTGTTCCAGATGGCCGCAGAAGCGCATCTGAAAGCGTGCAATGCAGTGACCGTCTCCGTTTCGATGGCCAGGCAAAAGTCGCTGCGAGGTTGACCGGAGTTCGCGTGGCGATGACGGGAATCCACATTGCGTGGCTGATGTAACTGTGTGTGTGTCGTTGGCACGTGTGTTGTTCGTCATCATTGTATCGCGTGACGCCAAGCGTATCACAGAGTGCATCATATAGCAGCAGCTCTTTGGGGCTGTGTTGGGGAATGGTGTTTTTTTTTAATTTCCCGCACCTCCGATTCGTACGGTGCGAAAGAAGTTCAACATACAAACATAGATTTACACACACCCACTTCCTCCCACCACACACAACTCCCTCCATTCCACCCAGAACAAAGACAAAGATCCCCCGTGTAGCCTTAACAGACTGTTGGGGCAAGTGCGAGGGGTGGTTTGGCCGGCAAACACGCGCGGCCGCCTTTGTCTCCCCAGTTCCATTTATTTGGTATAACCCTGTGAGCCATTCGGCTCTTGAATCGGGCGCAACCGCAACAAACAAAAACATGAACAAGAAAAAACATCTTAAAGTGACTGTGTGACTGTGCAGTGGCGACGTTGACTACACACCGCACACCAGGTACTCATTCGAGGCTGAGTCGACCTAGGGGAGAGCCCAGGACCGGTTGGGATAATCGTCGCCGGTGCTGTAGGGACCCCCCCCCCCTCTCAAGCCGCGTGCTTGCAACTGGCTGGCCAAGGCCCCCCCCCCTCCTCCTCCACACCCCCCGCGGCTGTCGAAGGCACCCAGCGCACACTTCCTTGAACTCTGCTTCATGTTCGTAGACCTCGGATCGGCAGAGGGGTGGAAGCCGCTGCCGGACGGAGCGCATGAAGCCCGTCGGATACATCAGCAGCAGCAGCAGCCTCCTGTCTGTAAGGAAGGAAGGCTGATACTCTTACTATCCTACTGCGATTTCCTGATCATTCACTAGGGAACAGCGAGACTCTCTCTCTGACTTCAGTGTCGTTCTATGCTTATCCTGCACCTTCACATACATTTTTAGCTTATTTATGCATTTACATTAATTCATGCACAAGTATGGACATATATACGCGCCCACAAAGTTTTTGTTGAATTCATTGATGTGATAGAGTTACACTCTGCGTTACGTCCATGCACAGAGGCGCGACCTCCTCCTCGTTGTGCACACGCGGACGCGTGCACGCGCACAACTTCGCGCAGCACAAAGTCACAGACGCTGACATTAGACGGCGTCTTCGTAACACGCGCACATATGGAAGCATTAACACACACGCAGATGCGCACCTTTTAATTCATACAAAGACGCAAGGAGCCGGCACGTACTTTAACGCACGCACGCACGCACGCGTCCCGATCCAATCAACGCCTTTGGTGAATGCCAGCAACGTGCAAGCGACGCAACGCTTCTCTGGCGTTGTTGTGGGGCTTTGTTTATTCCCCTGTGGCGCGAACAGTGACGAGCGATGGACGGAGCGGTCCTCCACATGCAGAGGAGCGAGGTGTCCGAGCTGACATGGGGCTACGATGAAGGTAACAAAGACAAAGGGTTCCCACCGTAGATATAGCCTCGAGACGACTGTTGGGGCAAGTGCCGTTCGCGATTAGCTTCAGCACCGATGAAGGACAGCACGGGCAACATCGAGAGGGTGGCGGTGGACTAACAAAAACACACACAACGGCACACGGACGCATTTGTCTCAAGCAATGCTGAGATGTTTGCACACGCCACCAGGGACTTATTTGAGGCTGAGTCGACCTAGGGGAGCCCCGCGACCAGTTTTCATATAATCGTCACTGGTGTTGTTGACCGCGAGCGGGAATCGAACTTACGCTTTTCGGTTGCGATGTGTGAACATCGCCACTAAGGAGACAATCATTCATGGAGTGCTACACGCTAACAGCACTTGCCCCAACAGTCTGTTAAGGCTATCAGGGATGTGGGTGGGGGTCTTTGTCTCACGCACACCTGCCTAGTGCCTAGCACTACACAAGTTTGTGATTTCACTTCTGTGTCTCCACCACCACCAGCAACACTTAACTCGGTCCAGGAAATTACCGCTGTGGGGAGCGGTGGCGCAGCGGTTAGCGCATTGTGCCTTACTGCTGACAAACTTCGGTGGCGAGTGAAATCTGAGCCGGTTCCAGGGGCCACCATTCCACTGACCAACCTCGCACTGATAATCGTGGTGAAGTATGGTCGAACAAGCACTGTGACGACGCTGCGTTATTTTTGGTAAAATCCGAATTCTGACAATTACAGGAGCGTATCGCAATTTGGGTTTTAATCTCATATGTGGCTGGTGAATGAGTGAAAGATGTGCGAGTTTTTTTGCAATCCTGCTCAGTTGCAATTTACAAAGTGTCTTAGTGTGACTTTCATTTAAAAATGCTGTACAAGAAAACAGGCAGGTTGCATTGTTCGATTAAAGAGGAAAAGAATAAAGGGATTTATCGACTGACAAAAATACATTTGAAAAAAGGGGAACAGAATCAGAATTTTTTTTTTATACACTTAAGGAATCCAATGAGCTACAAAGCTCTTGTTCACAGACATTCCTCGTGGAAGAGGAGAAACGTGGACTTGAACAGGGGATTGGAATCAGCAGTGTGGACAGATACACGGAGAGAGTTCCGGACATTGGGAACAACAGCGGAGAAGGAGTGACCTCCCCATAAGTGGAGGTTGACTTGGGGGGGGGGGGGGCAGGGCTCTGATAGGGGACCTAGGTTGTTGGAGCAGAGACCACGTGATGATAGAGAGTAGAGGGAGCCGAGAGGGGAGAGGTATGGGCTAGGCCATGGGGATAATGAGGAGGGTGCCCTCGTAACACGAGTGTGTTGTCTTGTGTTAAATACCTGAGTCGTACGTTTTGTGTCTAGTTGCGTGTGTGTTCGTGTGTACATTGTGTGCGTAAGCGGCCTTGTATATCACAAGACTGGGTTGTTATGCGCTTCTTTGTCCACAGCTTTGGGTTGTACGCAACAGTTAAACAAATAAGAGAGCCGAATGAGAAATAAAGCAACAGAAATCACCCCCTGTCCGCAAACATTGAACAGATTGTGAATGTTGGTGCAGTGTTTTCAGAATGCTTGCTCTGTGGCTTTTTATAGAAACCATGCATTTGTGTTTAACCTTACCTCAGGTTGTGTATAATTGCTATGTAGCAGCTTGCAATCAGAACAACTGTTGTTTAGCTCATTATGTTGTCAATACACCACGAATGAAATCAGTGCAAGTATCCAATAAACCTTTTGGGGTGTTTTCCCCACGTTTTATATGACACATATTGAATTGTACGCTTTATACCGCCAGCTCTATTTGTTGTTTGAAACAAATATTTTTTTAATGGTTGTGAAATGTTATGAGAGGGAGGGGGGGGGAATCAAGTTTATTGGTGTTTACACCTATACTGCAGTATTGAATTTCATCTGTCACATTCAAGCCAGACTGGGGAAGGTTACTGGGTGTCTGTAACTGAGTTTTGCTCACGCGCATGAACTCGCACAATTACATAAATATTGACCTCAAATGAATTGCCCGTCTTGAAAACACCCAGACAGTTCACGCCGCCGCAGACAGCCACTGGGGCGTGGAGCTGATTTGGCCACAGCGGTGAAGATGCGAGCTCCGTTTTTGGACGAGGGACATTGTCCCCTGTTTTGTGCCCATTCATAGTATTTTTTATCACGGTTGAATGATGCGTATCCGTTTCGCTGGGCGGGGGGTGGCGGGGTCTGTGGTATGGGCGGGTACGTGAAAAGGTCAGATATGTGAAAATCTATAGGGTACGACAGTTCCTCAGTCATGCACGAATAGCCTATACAAAGGTAACAATTAAAGAGAAATCCTTGACTTTGCTCTACAAGTGAGCAGCCGTACGCGACACCAAGAACAAACATTACTGAGTGTGTGTGAAAAGGCCGGATTCGTGAACATCTGCAGACAACGACAGTCACACCCTGCACAAACACTGCACTGTGTGCGGCCGATTAATTGGCGGATATGCGACAGTCAGATATGCGGGCGTTGTGCTGTATTACCTTTGTCAGGTGTGCAGAGTCCATGGAGACACCATGCAGTGGGGTTGCAACAATTCTCACTCCTCGCAGTTTAAATAATTTCCGCAATTCAGGGTCGCAAGCTGATTAAATTCTCTTTTTTTTAATCATCGTGGTGAATGTATGCCACAATGATAGCCGGGCCGTGGTGACACGCGCACTGTGGAGGCGAGGGTTGGTGGTTGTGAAACTCCTTTCACGTGGGCGTCAAGGAGGTACCATATCCTGGCTTGACAGGGAAAATGTGTGGTACAGCAAAGTGCGGGCTAATATCATCCGTCTTCTGATATCGTCTGTCTTCTCTGAATGGCGTAAAGCGATGCCCCCTCGTACGCGCGAGATTCATTCGAGTGCTCCGGTTTCCTCGTTCACGTACGAACACTCATTAATTGGCTTGAAGCCATTTAATACGTGCAGCTCAAGTGTTTTTCGGATGGTGCTGCGTTGTGAGATGCAGCTTGTACGAAGGGGTTTCTGCGTTGGCGAGGTGTTAACTACCTCGCCTGGTATGCAGGAGGACGTGGGTTCGATCCCGACCTTGAAGTCTGTATATTTGGAGTTTGCGTGTCTTTCTCCCCGCGGTCGTGTGGATTTTCTCCGGGTCCTCCAATTTTTCCCCTCCACATTTCGAATCGACGTGTGGTTAGAGGATTTGGCTGCCATAAATGTCCACATGATAAGCGATTTCGTTGAACTCTCCTTTGTGGCCAGGCCACTTCTGAAAAAAGAGTTGTATACCTCAGTGGGCCTTACCTGGTAAAATAAAATTAGTATCCTGTTACCCTAGCCGCATGGAAACATTCATTATTTACTATTTAATGCATATACACGCAGCTGTAAATGTGAATGGAGTGGCAGTATCCTTGTTGCACATGTACATTTACACTCCATTGTAAGCTCAGTGGGTTTTAACTGGTAAAAATGTTTTTGTAGTATGTATAAAACAAATCATGTGTAAATATGTTCGTTGTCACAGCCTCAAGTGGCTCAAGGAGTCAAGTAAATCCTTTACACAGGAGGGTGGTATGAACTTATGAACCTCGGTGCGATGTGTGAACATCGCCACGAAGGAAACAAAGGCCGTGATATTTACAGGCCATAACGAGTTTACTCAACCAACTAGGACCCAGCATTTTAGATTGCCAATTATTTATGCAGGTAGAGCATGGTGGATGCTTAAAACAAATCACAAAATGAAGCATTGTGCCAGTTATTGAATGTTTGATGCTTCGATAACGCTGAACAGAAGGGACATTTGTGAAGGCACGTCGAAAGCGTACAGGGACATTGCGCTACATTGTGTAACAGAAGTGGAATGACGAGAGTTACGTGCTTGCTTATGTGTGACAATGTCTCAGCTCACCGCTGAAAAATGTTATAGAGGTCGCTAAATAAAGAAATATAACTATGAGTGTGAAATTCACGTAGCGAAGGTCACCTGTTTCCCAAAATCGAAGGAGGACCTGAGCTCAAGGAAGCTGCGTAGGGGATACATAAATTGGCTGGAAGAATGCTATTTTTTTAAATAATTAGAAAAGCTTCAAGAACGATATGAAATAAGCATTGTTAAAGAGGGTGAACTGTTGACAAACCTTACTGGTGTGTGTGTGTGTGTGCTTTGTGTACACTTTTGTCTCAGAACCTGTTCATATAACGCATACGTATCGAGAAACATTGATTTTTACAGACATGATTCAACGCCCGCATCTGGAACATAATGACCATATTAATCTATGACTTTATTTCATCGGTACATCCCTGCCATGCAACTGCTGTAAGGTATGTCTTTGGTGCGATTAATAGGATCTGAAGGAAGGAAATTATTATATTATGTCAGTATGTGAGACTGTAAAACACAATTCCTTGTGCCTGCATGTAAGCTAGCTTCTGCTCCTGCACAAGTGACCAAAATTGACAAACGTGGTCCCATTGGTACCAATATGACTGTTGAAAGGTTATAGAACAACACAATTGGTTGTTTCACCTTAGACCTTGCATAAAATAATATAATAGCGTGGGGACAACTGATTCTAAGCAAGTTCAAAGAATACAGAAAAGTCCTTTGCACACCCTCTCATCAAGATGTTAAGTCAGTCAGAAAAATAGCATGTTATAATTTAAGCTGTTTTTTTTGTACTTTATTTCCACAATTGCTGACTTTCCCATCCTGGGACAGGCCACTTGCTGGAGTATGCAGTCTGATGCGGTGGTTACGTAACTATGATCAAGAACGTTCGAGGCGAGGGTTGGTTGTTTAACCACGAACATTTTTTCCCAAGGCCATGGGAGGTGGTAGAACAGCAAGTGGGATTTTGAACCCATCCTTGTGCACACGTGAGTGTTATCGCCTCGTACAGGTGGGGTTTCTCCAGATACTCCGGTTTCCTTTCACTTAATAAAAAAAAACCCCTTCAGTTCATATTAAATTACACTCTCTGGCATAAATATAGGTGTTAAGATGTTCACATACT